TGAGTTATCCCACATTCCTCATGTAAGTACAGATTTACAATCCCTTTGAATCAAATTTATAGTTTGGAGTAGAACATTATGAATGGAAATATAGTTGCTACAGCATGTATAGTCGCAATGCTTTTGCTAGATGCCCAAGCCTTAATCTCCAAGCACAACCACATTTGTGTAAACTGCATTTCACTGTCTCCCTTACAATGCTTCCTCTTCTTCTCCCTCACTCATTCAAACTTGAGACTCTAAACACATTGACTTTGAGCTTTTGCAGATTGCCAGAAATAGTGCAAATTGAGTCCACTTTAACTGCCCTGACTCAGTGCTGGAGAATCATGGGAATTGTAGTTTATTGTGGCGCCAGAGCTCTCTGACAGAGAAGGCTCAATGTCTCAGAAAAAATCCAATTCCCATGATTCCCTAGCACTGAGCCAGGGCAGTTAAAGTGGACCCAATTTGCACTATTTCTAGCAGTCTGCAAAGGTCCTTTGTTTTTGGAATAGACTATTACCAGCAGTGTACAAGTAAATAATCAACAGAATTCAAAATCAGCTATTGTTTATAATTATTTTAAAAATTCAACATATACATGATCAAAAGACAATCATTAAACAGTTTTTATTTGGCAAAACATAATGTTACTTTCTCTTTTTCCCTTTGAATGTGCTTGGCCCTCTGTTTTCAGACAAATCACTGGCTTCCCCATTGTGATGAGCTAGCCACTCGTCCTCCAACTGTTTCAGCATTTCCTTGGTAAGAAGTCCCTGTTGTATTAGTCTAGCAGCCAGAGCACCCTGGACTCGACCCCGGGTGTCCATTTGCGCTTCTCCAGGCCTAGAGCTCATCGCTTTAGATCCCCTTCCTCTTCGCTGCCCTTGGGCCTTCATGCCACTTGGGAGAAGTTCTGTGTCAGCTTGTGGGAGGTCTTCTGCATTCAACATCCCTTCACTAATGGTAGCCCTCTGCAGAGGAAAATCATCTGGAACAGTAACAGTCCCAGAAGCGGCTTGTGAAGCTCTAATCAATCTGGTAATGTTAAGCACTCCTATTTGTATAATGTCATCCAGCTCCTTTTGAATGTCCCGCACAAGAATAGCATCTGGGAACATGTCCATGAACCGGTAGCTGCAAGAAAGCACACAACGATGATCAAATGGAAGCTAAGAAAGGTTAACAGTGTCTCCTCTTTTTAAACCCTCAAGTGTTTGGGTGTGTGGCTCCATCCGTTTTTATATTACCTTTTGTGTAACTAATCCTGAAGGCAAGATTTTCACATAAACATAAGGATATAGCTAATGAGAGCAAACCACAGCCAGTCCCCTCTCCCAAAATCATACCCAGTTTGTGTTTGTGTGTTTAAAAATAAAAATAAAAATGTAATCCTTTGTATTTGGTCATTAAGGAAAAAAGCTTAAAGATATAAACAGTTGCACACCATGAGTTATCCTTTTTCATACTTACACAAACTATGAGCAGCAAGAGAGGCTGAGTATGACCATGAACTCATGTTTTCCTGATTCAAGCCCAGACATTTAGCTCTACAATAGTGCCTTCTATCAATTCTGTCACTTCAAGTGGCTCTGTTTCTATTTTACATTAACTGGCTATCCAACAATATTTAACAGGTATAAAAAACTAATCTATCACATAGACTGATGAGAAAGAGATGTTACGTTGTGTGCCTTCAACTCATTTCCAACTTATGGTAGCCCTATCATGAGATTTTCTTGTCAAGATTTGTGGGGGGGGGGGGGTTGCCATTGCTTCTCTTCAAGGCTGAAAGAGTGTGACTTGCCCAAGGTCACCAGGTGGGTTTTCCTAGCAGATTAGGAATTCAGAGTTTGGTCACCAAGATCCTAGTCCAGCTCTCAAACTACTACACCACACAGGCTGTCCTGAGTAGTACTATTATACAACTTATTATCTCATATTTATTGGAACTGAGCCTATGAAGACCCTGGATATTATTGGAGGGGGGCTCACTCACCGGTCAGATCTGCCCCCAAACCTACTCTCATGCAGTTTGTTAAGTCCCTCAGTGTTTGGACAGGATTAATTATTCCTTGTGTAATTATTATGGTGCAACAGAGAGGAGCTGGAATAGAAAGGGAAAAAAAGAAGAGAGACCCCAAAAGTCTCCACAGATTTGAACCATCTTACACTTTGAAATCCCACCTTGGAGGGGAAAGGCTGGTGTCACCTGAACAAAAGCAGTGGCAAGATTGCCAAGAAGTCCCCAGAAAGTTGCACAGAGGGGGACAGTCAGACATCTCCTGAGCAGAGGATTGAAAAGATGGTTAAGAAATCCCCATTGCTTACTTGGGTGGTTGCAGGAGGGGGGGAGAAAATGAGAACAGATTCCAACCATCTTTGGCTGCAGCTTGTAAATGGCATTGTCATATTTTTCTTCTTAGAAAAAGCTCCTACCCTTGCTGTATACAAATTTCAAACACTAATCCAAGGTTCTGACACAATAGAGTACTCCTGTGACCTCCTCAAAATCTAAGGGGGACTTTGGAAAGCTAACTCACCAAAGGAGAAGTGGGTTAGACCTCCTCCTCCTCCTATGTTTTCCACTAGCAGAGAAACTTTGACATGAAGAAACTTTCATACAAGCACTTCCCCACAGCTGTCTAAATATGTATTCCTGTGGGAGTATGGTACCATGTTATAAAGGTGCTGCCAAAAGCAGCTGAGCCAAAATGTTCCTAATCTGGGGATAAGACAAGGAAGAAGGAAGGCGAAGTCCACTCCAATACCTCAGCCAAAGATAAAGATCAAGGACGTCATGAACAGCTTCTAGATGTACAAGGTCCTTTATATTCCTAGGTGGGGTCAAGGGCCAATGAATATGCCTACACAGCCAGTCAAACGTCAGAGGTTCATTTCTGCTGAACTGCCGGGCAAACTAGAAAATGAAGAAACACATTAAGCAATCAATATTTATGCAAGAACAATACATACCACCGTCAATTCTCACACCATTAATTTCTCACACTGTCAACTACCCCTTGAAACTGGCTCCTTTTTTTTCATCCAATGTCAAGTAGTAAAGCAATTCCAGCAATTTACAAACATTACACCATGCTGTGGGGTTCAGTCCAGAAGAGCAGGTATTGCAACAAGCAACACATTTATTAATTAAAAGAAACAACATGGCAAAATATTAAAAGCTTTGTTGCTTGAGAGCTGGAATAAAGAATGCGTTAGAACAACTAAGGTAAGTTCTCCTATTTTCATGTTAATGAAATAACCTTCCTTTTTTGCCTTCCTGCAAAACTTCCAGTAACTGTCCGAGCTTTAGGGAAAACGTTTGCCTCAAAATGTCACGTTCTTGAACATAGCTATTGAACGTGACATCTCCCCTCCCTAAACCTCATTAACCAGATTTTATCTGGACCCCTCAAACAATAGCCATCCTGGTTGATTAACAGAGCTGGCCCTTGGCCAACCATCCATTTCCAAGGCCAGAGTCCATTGAGCTTTGGCTGCAGTGCAAAGATGGGATGGGGGGGGGAGGAGACCAAAGTCATATGATTCCCCCAGGAATTTCTCTCCTCATTAGGTGCAACAATACCAACTCTCTCACCCAACTAGAAACAGAAAGTGCTATTTATTTGAATATTTATATCTCACATTTAGCCAAAGATTTCAGAGTGGCATACCAAAAGAATAAAATAAATGAAATGAAATAAATAAATTGCAAAACATTTTAAAACACTGACAATAATTACATCAGACAAAAGGCCTATTAAACAAGTTCACAAGTTAAAACAAAGCCATTTAAAACCAGTTAGACCAGTTTAAACCATGCACATCTATACATTTGGAGGAAATCAGTTAGGCCTCAAAAAACAGTGATTCCCAAACTTTGGTCCTTCAAGTGTTTTGGGCTTCAACTCCCAGAAGCCCTAGATAGCTTGTCCAGCACTCAGGAATTCTGGAAGTTGAAGTCCAAAACATCTGGAGGACCAAAGTTTGGGAACCAGTGCCTCAAAGGCTTCAGCAAAAACCCTTATTTTTCCTTGGTACAGAAACGAAACCAGTGTCATGAGTATAAAACAACTGGCAAGGATTCATATTCCTATCCACAAAATCTTTCTTTATTGATCACGGGAGTGTTTTATATAAAATTCTGAATACTCTGAGATAGGAAATGTTGCTAGATTTCACCCTAAGCTGTGTTTAACTTCCAAACCTAGGATGAGCAAAAAAAATCAGACTTAGCGCAAACTGCTTATACAAGCTTCTATGGCCCTAGGATGATAATCAAGAAGTCTTTGCTGCTACAGTAATTCCTATTTTTAAAAATGTCTTTGATTTCTAACCTTCCTTTCTTTCAAAAAATGAGGCTCAAAGAAGCAAACAATAAATGGGAAAAAACAAGTACTGGTTAAAAACAAAACAAGACAAAACTTAATTAAAACATCAAAAAAAATGTAAGCAATTTCAAACCAAACAACAGAAAAATTCATGTTGGGAGATACTGGAAGATTCTTCCTAAGAACACTATTGCTTTACACTACACATTTAGTACAATTCTTGAATGGGTCACAACTGGACATATGACGAAGGCAACATAGTCTTCATATCCCACGCTCTTTCTCAACCTTGCCAAACTGTAACTATTTTTCTAACCTTCATTTACAGTTCAGATACCCAGAGGTGGAGGAGTTGACACAATTTACAATGTAACCTATTCCCATAAAATATGTGCAGATTCGTGCACACACAAACGTGTCAGGGATCATGAAGGAGATGTGAGCCCTTACCTTTAACAGTGAGGTGCACACATATGGCTGCTTTTTGTTGATAGGTGCTGTGCAGAACACATACCGTGCTCTCAGGTTCAGTGGAATGTGCTGAATCATGTCAGCAAGAAATTTGAAATCATCAACATTGCAGACAAAGTAGAGGCCATCAACTTGAGAAAGACTCACAAAAATATCCTGTTTTAAAAAACAAACATACTCTTTACTAAACATTGTCTAGTCTATGTTTGAAGAGCCAGTGTGGTGTAGTGGTTTGAGTGCTGGACTAGGACTCCAGAAGACCAGGGTTCAAATCTCCTCTCAGCCATGGAAACCCACTGGTCACATTCTCTCAGCCTAAAGGAAGGTAGTGGCAAACTTTCTCTGAATAAATCTCATCAAGAAAACCCCATGATAGGTTTGTTTTACAGTCACCTCAAGTCAGAAACCACTTGAAGATACACAACAAGAGCTGTGTTCCCAGTTATGTATCTGTGGAGTGTTCCAATACAAGTATAATTTCCAAGCCAAAAAGAGGCAAATTTCACAATGTACATGTACCATAGGCATCAAGTAAATATGAACATATCTCCAGAGCCCACTACAGGCCATTCCATCCTCTCGGCAGTATTGCCAAATTTGGCAGTTAACTGTGCCACTGAATTTCAAGAGCAAACCAATGAAAGCGTTTTTAATCAATCAAAAAATGAAGCATTGCAAAACAGCTTTGGGAATGCCCATGGTTTGCAGGTCTGCCCAACCTACTCTAAGTAATCAGATGGAGAATCTGTACACAGAAGGAAACCACAACTAGTACTTTTCTTACTCACGTTCCCACAGGTCAGCCAATCAGTCAGTAAATCAAGCCCTAAGAACTGATAAACATTGCAGCACTCATCAGCTGCACAAACATAAACTGCAAATAAAATCTCATTTGTGCAGATTACATGGGCATAAAATAATACTCAGGATAATAGTGTGTCCTCACTAAAGCAATGCAGCATGTAAACTACTGTATACAGAAAAAGTTCAATAGCCGTTCTGATTCTTACAATTAGATTTGAGAGTGTGGCATCAGGAAGATGATATGCAAACATTTCAATCTGCTCAGCAGTGGGATGCAAGCCAGCAGTCTGGGGAAAAAAAGGAGGGGAGTGGGACAAGAGAGAAATGCTTCATTTTTCACCAGAATTAAACCTTTTAAAAACGTATTATCTGACTGTGAAAATTATTGGACTATGAGAAGCTGTAACCCAAACAATCTGGAAAGAAGGTGACCCAGGATGCTCACTGCATATACAACATTTACAGCCACTAACAAGGATGTAATTATCAAGAAGAGGAAGCTAAATAGCCAAACAGGGGAAAGGTTCAAGAGAACCAGTTTGAAGACTGTTTACTAACTGAGTTGCTTGACAGGAGATAGGCAGCAGGAGTACCTTTACTGAGCTCATGGAAGCTGCTATACCATGTTCCACAAATATTCTATATTCCAGGTCAAATGTAATTGCTTTAGCAGTTATTTCCACAAGCAAGCAAGCAAGCATATGAAACAGCCTTTCTCAGTTTGGCACCCTAGATACTCTGGACTACAATCAGCCTTGAGCACTATGACAGATGGTCAGGGATGGGGGTGTTTTAGTTCAAAACCGGTGGAAATCACCAGGGCTTGGTTCCAATGGTCCAGTCTATTCAGCATGCATACTTGTAAGGTCATTTCAGATACGATTGTGGCTTAATAGCAGACCACCCTTTGATTGCAGAAATTCCCAGATTCAGGGTTTGACACATGCAGTGATAAAGTTTCAGGAAGCATGTAATGCAAAGCACCTTGGTCTGAGACCTAGGAAAACTGCTGCCAATCCAAGTAGATGATTCTATCCTAGATGAACAGCTGGACCAATCAGAAGAGCCATAAATAGCACAGCCAATGATGAGGGATGATAGCATTGAAAGCCCACATCTGTGGGGGCACAAGCTGCCCACCTCTGTAATAGAAGGTTGCTCCTGATGTTCTTATGCTTGCCTAACTTAAGTTAGTGATCTAACACTGCTCTAGGAACACAGTGCTGTAAAACACACCAACAAGATTAAAATATTTAAGATCCTACCAGTATGGAATCCACTGGTTTATTCAAGATTTCCTTCAGCAAAGGAAGGTCATCTCTATGCATAGTAGTAACTTCCCCCTCTTTGAACACAGTGCTAAATCTTCCAGCTCGCCCTGAAATTTGTAGTGCTTGGGAAGTTGTAATTGTATCCATTTCTTTCTCACCCTTTTCATTCACAGTTGGTTTAACTAAGGAGTTAAAAATTATCCTTTTTATGCTCCTAGAATAAAAGCACAGATAACAGGTTAACTGAAAAAAAGAAAACAGCATTTGTTACACCACATCACATTTCTTTCATAAGATTCTAGTTATACCAAATCAAAATTATTATTATTATTATTATATCTTACCCACCTCTCCCCAAAGCTCAAGGTGAAGAACAACATAGATTAAAATATATAAAACCATTTAAACACATAAGTTAAAACATATAAACACATGTAGGTCAGGAAAAGGTGCTAGATGCACAACACTAAAAGGAAAAACTCTCTAGATAGTTTCAGGTGATGCAACATAAGCAGCAGCAACTTGTCAAAAACAACTTTGTTACTCATTAGTTTGTTGTAATAACAAGGGGCAAGAACACAACTTTTAAGCATTATTATGATGACATTAACATTAGGGGCCTGAGGGTTTTCACACTACAAACAATATTTACTCACTGCAGAAGTGTTATTTTGGGGAGGGGTACTGAGGATGGCTATTAGTAGTTTTGTTTTTCTATAAATTAAAAAAATAGTAGTAGTGAACTATGTTAATAGCGCATTATGCTACTTGTTACTTGCAAGAAAAACAAAATAATAAGTAATGCAACAAATAATGTGGTACTTTTGAAAGTAATACTTCCAAACTCTGGCAATAACAGAAGTCCCTCATATTTCTCTGTCATCAAGAATGCTACATATTGTTTTCTGCCTTCAAGCTGACTCTTTATGGCAACCCTATCATAGGGTGTTCTTGGCAAGATTTATTTAGAGGAGGTTTGTCATTGTCTTCCTCAAAGGTTGAGAGAATGGGACTTGCCCAAGGTCACTCAATAGGCTTCCACAGTTGAATAATGATTCCAACCCTGGTCTCTCAACACTTAAACCACTAAACCATGTTGGCTCTCTACATATTCGTGAAAGGTGCTTAGTTAAACAACATCTATCCTCAACTCTATGAAAAACTGGATATTCAGTCAGGTTGAATCAATGCAGTAAATACTGCTCCAGTATCCAAACTCTACATTCCCCTCACCTCCTTCTCCTGCCCTATGGGAAGAGATATTCCCACCCTAATACATGTAGCCTGGCCAGAACGAACAGAATGCAACCCCAATATCTGTACTTCCCTACCCTCTCCTAATGGTATTCAGTCTTCCAAAGATCTAGAAAAGCATGAAGTATGAAAGAGAAAAGGAGGCTGACCTTCATTAACACAAAGGTGAACTTTTGGAACATCTGTAGCCCACCAACTAAAGGTACGTACATTAGTTACATTCCGTTAATTAAAAGGGACATATGTTTAGAAGTACCCTTCCAGTTAGGTAAAAATAATGATCAGTGCATGCACACATCATGTGCCTTCAAGTCACTTCCAACTTATGGCAATCCTAAACTGAACCTATCATGGCATTTTCCTGGCAAGGTGTGTTCGGGATGAGGTTGGGTGGCCATTGCCTTCCTCTGAGGCCAAGGAAGTGAGAGTTACTCAAGTTCACCCAGTGAATTTTCAAGTGGGGAATTGTACCCTGGCCTCCTGGAGTCCTAATTCAACTACTCAAACTACTACACCACACTGGCTCATGGGAGGCATTTCCTGAGAAAGCCAAGGACTACCATCATCTGTACCTCAATGAAATACTGTGTTTAATTTATTCAGGATACTTACAAATTGAGGCCCATTCCAATTGCATCTGTAGCAACCATGATTTTACATGGATCATCAGGATCATTGAACTTCTTTGCCTGGGTAAGTTTTGTTCCTGAAATAATCAAAGAATAGGCTGTATCCCAAATAATGATACACTTGCATTC